TTTTTCTTCCTTTTCATATTATGAATGAAAAGTTTGTTTCTTGTTCGAAAAATAGTTGGCCACAAAATCCACTCTACGAGCCAAGATTGATTGAAGCAAGATTTCTGGATTCAACATGTATCATGAGCACTTCGATTATGAAAAAAGAAATGGGAACATGCAGGCGTTTGGACCAGCTCAGCCATATGACTCTCAAACCACAAAAACTGAGAAGGATGAAGAACTAATATCAAATTCTTATTCACTTCTAGCATAAAACTGTCATTCTCAGCCCAAATGCAGAAAAATGAATCATCAACTTTGCAACTATTGACCTCCATCAATTAAAACTGTTAAGGATGAATAAATCACCACTCAAATCAAAAGCTTAAGCTGATGGATTGGGTAAATTTAATTCATTTATGAGTATCTCAACACTCCCCCTCACTTGTGGGTTTGGAAAATTGCAACAAGACTCAACAAGTCGAAATCATAATAAATGGGGAGGAAATAACAATGCAGGGGTTCGAACGCAAGATCAGGACCAGGACCTCCCGCTCTGATAGCATGTTAAAGATGGATAAATTACCACTCAAATGAAAAGCTTAAGCTGATGGGTTGGGTAAATTTAACTCATTTGAATATATCAACAAAAATCGTAGATAATCTACTTCAAATACTAAAAATGCTTCAATCAGGAACAAAAAACTAGACCCTAGGAAGAATGAGAGGGAAGGAAAAAAGAGGAGAGAGAAGAGAGCACTTTTTACCATTAAGGTAAAATCCTACATCATCAAATGCATCTCTCATATATATATATATATATATATATTCTATTAAATTATAACCAAGAAAGTAGGGCTCTGTTCTTCTTCATGCTTTTTTGAAGCACATTTACTTGGGTTATATTTCTCAACAGATTTCAAACATTATTTCTCTTCAATCAAGGTGCCTTGAAGTTTCAGTGCTTTTTTATTATGTTCTTTATTGTTAGATGCTTGACTTTTTTACACCTCTCTATTTGGGTTTACAATGCTGGGAGTCTTAGAATGCAGCAATTTACTAGAGACTCACACACATGTATACTCAAGGGAGCACTGTTCTAATAAAAAGTAAAATTGCTATAAATGATATTTTACTAATTGGCACCTAAAGATAACGTATAGCTTATAAAGTTATAACCATGATATCTACAATAATACACAACTAATAGAAATTCTATAATATACAGGTCAACGTGTCAATTATTGGAGGGAGTTGTTTCTTGGATGCTGCTGTAAATGATTCTCGTATTGTTGAAGTTATTCAACCTGCTCCGGGCATACAATGCCGAGAGTTAGTGTTGTCACCGAAAGGAATGGGGACGGCACTTGTGACGGTATATGACATTGGGCTTAGTCCTCCACTGTCATCTTCAGCCGTGGTAATTTATCTTTCCATTAGTTCTTAGCCTTGGTTTTGTTTTATTTCTTTCATATCCTTATAGATTCTTGTAATTTTGTTCTTCTCCATAGCATTATTTTTGTGACTATTGGTAATTGTCAGAAACTTTATTATATTTGTACCATTGCCTTTTCTATATGTACACCTTTACATGCTCATGCTATGGAGGATATGTTATGTTGATTTCTAATTGGGGCAAATTATTATTTAATGACAAGGTCTCCTGTTTCCATCTCCATGTTTTCTTAAGAGTGTTATAATGCTTAACAGGTTCATGTTGCCGATGTAGACTGGATCAAGATTAGCTCTGAAGAAGAAATAAGCCTTCTGGTATGTTCTTTAGAACTCAAGGACATTGTTGTACAATCTATAGAACAAATCTTGTTGAAGTTAGGTCTAAATTTATTCATATTTTATTATTAATCCCTCATATAAACTGCATTCACCATGTGAATCTTAAATTATAGGAAGAAGGCTGGGAAGTTGTTGAGTTGGCTGCTGGGATTAGTGATGGAAGTACTTTTGACTCCTCCCAGGTTTGAGTTTGATTTTGTTTATCTTATGGGCAGATCTACGCGTGTTAAACTCATTGATAATTGGACGGGTTTTACATATAGCAACTATCAGTTTTCCGTTCTTTTATGCAGCTCCCTTTCTCTTATACTATTAAAAAAAAAAGTAATAAAATAAAATAAAACTTCCTTTGAACTTATGGCATGATTTATGTTATTCAAAGTTTCACTTTGAGAGTTGTGGGTGTTCTTGACCTTTTAACTTTGAATAATATTAACTGATCTGGTGTATATATGCACAAAAATGTTGATTGCTATTTTTTTCTTAATTTATTTGTATTGCTTATGGCCCTTCTTTGTACCTTCCGGAGGAAGGATGTTTAGGAGTTAACTGCAAACTTTCTATTGCTTGTGCCATGTGTCTGAGGTGTTGATTTTAATGTGACCAAAAGTTCTTGAGTAACGAACTTGCTCTTGTGGAACTACTTATGTCTAGTGTTAGGTATATTTTATTTGATGTGTGGGAAAGAGCCATTCATATTGTAGATTTGTATTATTTAAATAGAGTATTATTTTGTTTAGGTTGGATATTAGTCTTTTTAATCTAAATTACTAGTTATCTCTTTTTCTTTTATAATTAGTTTCCTTAGTTGGAATTTCTACTATATTATGTTTACCCATGAGTGGGTCATTTTGTTTAATGAGAAAATTATCTCCTCCCAAAACTACACGTACAAAAATAGATTGGGCTTTGTTCATTGAAAGGTGGTTAGAGTAGTTCAACAAGTTAAAAGTAGATTTGGGGGCCATTTGGTTGGGTGGTTTTCTGGGTGGGAATGGGCATGGGCAAGTAAAGCTCTTGTTTGTTACACAGATTTGAAATCTTTTCCTAAGAATAGCTTATTCCCAAGCCTCTCTTATTCCCATGGACAAGGGCTTTCTTTTCTCTTCCAGATTCATGGTTTGTCCATGGGTTTTGTGCCAGACTCTCCTATCTCTTCTTTTAAATAATTTTTTAATGTAATTATTTACTTTATTTTATTCAAATTAATTAAATTAGTTAAAATATTTATATTAAATTTATAATTAATAAAACAACATTAAAATTTTACCAATAATGTACTAAATTAATTATTCTATTGTAATAAATTAATTTATTAAAGTGTATACTTCATTTTTTTTTATAAAAAATGTAATTAATTGATGCAGTTAATAAGATGAAAATGATTAATTTTGTTAAATACATAAAATGATAATTATTAAGATTGATTGCTAAATAAAATCAACAACATAAATTTAAATATATATTTATAATATATTTATTAAAGAGTGAAACTTAAATTAAAACATAATTGCTTAAAATAATTATTATTTTGACTTAATAAAGATAAATTAATTAATGTAAATTAATTATTGGGAGTTAATTTTGATTGATTTTAAAGCTTTATACAAATATATCATTGCTAAATATGTATATATTGAATTTTAGTTAAATAACATTTAATATTAATTATTCAATTGACTATTGTGCTAAATTGTTAGTATAGCTAAATTGTTAATTTAAAATTTAGAATGCTAATATAAAATAATTTAATTTATATTATTTATTTATTTTTATTTAAATTTGATTTGTGATTAATCAATGTTTATAATGACATAAAATGCATATTTATAAAGTAATCACACAAAATAAACATATATATAATTAATTTTCAGACATCTTAATCCCAAGCATCTTAATCCCACATATATATACAACCAAACACAGTTATATTTTTTTCCCAGGCATCTTATTCCCAGGTATCTTAATCTGAGGCATCTTAATCACAGGCAACTTTTTTGAAACCTTGAACCAAATGGCCCCTTTTAGGTATAGATCGTATCAAGTATCTGTCAAATTGGGGCTTCGAAATGACGTTCAACCCCTTTTGGGAGAAAGTACTGGCCACACTCCTTTGTGTGGGTCTCAGTTAGAGAGTTCAATTAAAGCAACTAGAGCTATTTCTTCTATTTTCCCCGTCTTTTCACAAATTTTAAAATGTTCTATTGGGGATGACTTTGATGTTTACTTTTTTGGAATTGGGTGGATGATAAGCCCCGTCTCTTATTTGCCTACCTTCACCATCTCTTTGATATGAGGTTGCATTTTGTGGCCTGAGTTATATAGGCCTTGACCAGTTCTTCGTCTATTTCTTTTGGGTTTTTTCGTTCTTTGACAGGTAGGGAAACTTTGGAGTTGTTAGACTTACTTTTGTTGCTAAGGGACGTTGGCATTAGACAAGGGGAGGAGAGACATTCATGTTTGGTCTTCTAGCTCGTCGGGAGGGTTCTCTTTAGCTCTTTGTTAACTTTAATGTGTGCTGCGACCTAAGAAGTACGGACGCCTCATAATTCCCTGTCCTTCATGTATTATTTTCAGGATCCATGCCCATGCACCCTTTAAGCGATGAGATTCACATTCCACAATTGCCCTAAAATCCTTCTCCATAAGGTTAGGAGCCGATGTTGGAACATAAAACAAAGACATGTGATGTATAGGGAGGTTAGAAAACACCGCTTAAATAGATAGCCCACCACCTTTGAAGATCAAATAATGCTCCTATTTGAGAAATTTGCATACATCTTTTCCAGTTATAGGAGCCAAAAAGACAGGGAGGTAAGTGAGGTAAGTGGATGACCATTCATCCACTTTGGAACCAAAGACGAAATTAGCTATGGAGGAGATGGTCTATTCCACAGTGTTGATCCCCTTAATTTCTAACTTGCCAAAGTTAATGTTAAGACTCCATGCCTCTTTGAAAATTTGAAAACGTTTGCCTTTTCTATCCTGGTTTTCAAAGTTGGAGGAAAAGTTGAACATCATAGTTGTGCAAGGGTGGCCGGATGTTGTTTCCACCGATAAATGTTTTGCTGCCTCGAATCATCAATCTGGGGCCTGACCCTTTGTGCCCTCTTGCTGCTGTGGTCTGTTTAGCACCTTCAAGGTTAGCTGGTGTTTCCCAAACAGTGCCTCAGAGCCTTCTTTAGCTAGGGACTTTAGCAATCAAGGGAGAACTCTTTGGTCCAATGGGGTGATGGCCCTCTTGTGGTGAACGTGGTTTGAAACAAAAGAATATTACAAGGGGAGGACACTAGTTGGGACATCTTTTGGTATTTATTTAGATTTTCTATTTTTTTTTGTGTTAATTTCTAAAGTATTTTGTAATTATGGCTTGATGCAAATATTTGCAAATCGTAATTATGGCTTGATGCAAATCTTTGCAAACAAAAGAATATTACAAGGGGAGTCCGTTTGTGTGTCTCCTCTTTTCATAATGAAATATTTGTTTCTTATAAAATAAAAAATTTGGGGACCTTGGCTTAGGAGGATCCTTGTCCCTCTTCGTTTGTGTTCTTTCATTATTACTAAGATTTTATTTTTCTATTAAAAAGAAAAAGGAAAAGTTCATTGACTGCATGTTTTGAAATGCAGTTTGTGTACATGCATATTCTAGTACATATAGAGGATCGAATAGTTGAGCTTGTAGACAACGATGATTCAATGATTACTGATCATGGGATGGTTAAAGCTCCAAGTTTCAAAATTAAAGCTGTCTCACTTGGAACAACAACTCTTTATGTAAGTTTACTGTTGCCTTTGTGTTTATCTGCAATAGTTTATTTTGCACTTATTTGTCAATTTCTGTAGGGGAAGTATTTGAATTTACAGGTTAAATGTATTCTTGAAAACAGGTGAGTATTCTACAACAATCTGGACGTGAAATATTAAGTGAACCAATAAAAATTGAAGTCTATGCACCACCAAGAGTTCACCCCAATGATATTTTTCTTCTTCCCGGTGCTTCTTATATGGTAAGTCACTGAATTGTGGATCCTGCAATAGGGCAAAAATAAGTATGAAATAGAGAAAATTAAGATATAAAGGTTCATTGCTCTCGAGTATAATGTTTATATTTCATTTTGCCTTCTTACACTCCTTCCAAAAAATATAAAAGAAATTTGTGATCTAGATGTATAATTTGGCAGCATTCTCTTTTTTGTGTAAGCTCAGCTCACAGTTAAAGGTGGTCCAACAGTTGGGACGTATGTTGAGTATGCTAGTTTGGATAATTCGATTGTGAATGTTCACAAGTCTTCTGGTCAACTTTCAGCAGTTTCATCTGGAAAATGTGTAAGAGATATTGACAACTTGTTATTCATATGTTGCTATCCTTTTACTTTTATTTCTTGTAGTAAGAAATAGAATTTTAACGTATGTGTTAATTGATAAGAAAAAAATAATCCTTACTTTCAAAGAATTGATACAAGGCTGTAAATAGTAGCTAGAAAGAAGAAAAGAAAACGAAATCCTTGCTTATTAGGATAAGGAAATACTTACCTATCAAAACAAGGAAACCCTAACTTATTAAAAACCTAAATCCAATGGGAAAATAAAAGAATATAATTTAACACTCTCCCTCAAACTGGTGAATAAATATTCTTCATTCCTAACTTGTTAAACAAATAGTCAAAGTTGTTCAATTCTTCATAAGGATATTATGTGCAATACTAATGGTAGACTTATGTGAGGTATCGACTCCTCACTATTCAGATTTACTTCGAAAGATAACCCGAAGGTGATACAAAAAGAACAAGAACAGCCCTAAGGCAACAAAAGACCCACCAATTCGAGAGGGTGGAGAATCTCTCCCTAACAGCCTAAAAGCTAACCAACACAAAATGCTAGAATGCCCCCCTTAGCCTACATTCCCTTCCCCTTATAGGCAGACTTCCCTCCTTCCTACATGTAGCTGGTCCCCCCTCCTTCTCTCTCTCGGCCGTTGTGGCCTTCCTCTCCTAAAAAGACTTCTTTACCCTTCCTACTATATGTTTTTACAATTGGAGGCTTTAACATCACCCCTCATTTCAACTGTCACCTTGTCCTCAAGGTGAAACATAGGAAATTGTTTGYTCATGTCACGGACATTCTCCCAAGTAGCTTCTTCATCAGGTAAACCCTTCCAGCCGATGAGAGCCTCCCTTTCTCCTGTGGTGGTATTGTTTTGAAACGCGAACACTCTATCTGGTTCTGCGGCCCATTCCCAATCTTCTGTGAGCTGTGGTGGAATAAGAGGAGCGGCTGAAGCTGTCCCAATAACTTTCTTCAATTGTGACACATGGAAGACAAGGTGAATTCGTGCTTCCGCTGGTAGGTCCAATAAGTAGGCGACTTTACCAATCCGCTGTAAAATAGCATAGGGTCCGTAGAACTTAGGCTGCAGCTTCTCATTCCTTCTTTTGGCTATAGACAGTTGGCGATAGGATCGCACTTTTAGGAACACTAGGTCGCCAACATTATACTCCACCTCCCGGCGCGATTTATCAGCACTTTTCTTCATACGGTGTTGAGCTCTCTGTAAGTGTTCCTTCAGACGATCAAGAGCAAGGTCTCTCTCAGTGAGTTGCTGATCCAAAGTGGCATTGGCTGTTTTCTGACTTACATAGGATATTAAAGGTGGAGGAGCTCGGCCGTACACTGCCTGGAAAGGTGTGGAGCCCAGTGAGTTGTGGTAAGTGGTGTTATACCAATGCTCTGCCCATGCCAACCACTGTCCCCAGGACTTAGGCTTCTCACTACAAAAACACCGCAAATATGTTTCTAAGCAGCGATTCACCCGTTCTGATTGTCCATCCGTCTGAGGGTGATAGGCAGTGCTCCTCTTGAGTGTGGTGCCTTGCAATCTGAATAACTCCGTCCAGAAATGGCTGATGAAAACTTTGTCCCGATCTGATATGATGGATCTCGGGAAGCCGTGCAGCCTAACAACCTCCTTAATAAAACCCATTGCTACCACCTTGGCTGAAAACGGGTGGCTCAAAGGAATGAAATGCGCATACTTAAACGGTCTACCACCACTAGAATCGTGTCCTGCCCCTGTGATTTAGGTAACCCTTCTACGAAATCCATCGTTAGGTCCTCCCAAATTCGGTCAGGTATCGATAGGGGCTGAAGAAGTCCCGCCAAAGCTAGGGACTCTGTTTTGTGTCGTTGACACACCTCACATTCACTCACATGGCACTTAGCATCCTCCTTCATCCCGTGCCAGTATAATTCCCCTGTTAGTCTTTTGTAGGTTCTCAGAAATCCCGAATGTCCTCCAACTACCGAATTGTGGTACATCTGAAGGATGGCTGGTATCAAGGTTGATGTTTTGGTTAAGACTAAGCGGTTTTTGTAGTGCAATGTGCCGTTCACTGTCCGGATCTTCGTTCAAGCTAGTCAACATCTTGGCAAAGTGAGGATCCTCAGAGACTTCTTTTTTTATAACGTCCACATCGATCACCGCGGTTGCCGAAAGGACTGCTAGTGTTGGAGTCGCCGGCATCCGTGATAAAGCATCAGCTGCTTTATTCTCCAATCTGGGCTTGTATTGTATTTCAAAGTCGTATCCCAGCAACTTGGAGATCCACTTCTAGTATTCGGGTGGGACTATACGCTGCTCTAAAAGGTATTTAAGGGCCTGTTGATCCGTCCGAACAACGAACTTCTGCCCCAGGAGGTAAGGTATCCAGCGTTGGATTGCTAAAACAACAGCCATTAACTCTCTTTCATACACTGACTTCGCTTGGTTCTGCAAGGAAAGAGTATGGCTGAAGTAAGCGATTGGTCGCTGGTTTTGCATGAGCACTGCTCCTAGTCCTGTCCCTGACGCATCGGTTTCTATGACAAACGAGGTCGTGAAATCCGGCAGAGCTAATATTGGTAGTGTCACCATTGCTCTCTTAGTTGCTCAAAGGCTGTAGTAGCTTGATCCGACCATTGGAAACTGTCTTTCTTGTGCAGTTGGGTAAGAGGGGCTGCAATAGTGCCGTAGTTCGATACAAACTTTCTATAGTACCCTGTGAGTCCCAAAAATCCTCTCAGCTCTTTCACATTTTTAGGTTCTGGCCACTGGATCATGGCTGCTATCTTGGAGGGGTCAGCTTCCAGACTTGCCGTGTTAATGTCGTCGATGAGTTGGGCCTTTCGCACTACTTGATCACCTTTGGGTTCTAGGGCCCTTACTTCCGCGCGCATCACTGGGTCGAGCCCATTCAAGAAAGCGCTTTCCAGCACTTCATCGGAAAGTTGCGGGAGAGCTGCCGCCAGAGCCTCGAATGTCTGTCGGTACTCTATGAACGTGCCCTCCTGTCTGATCGATAATAACCGTGCACATTGTTTGCCTTTGCTTGCCGGATGGAACCGATCACGTAGTCGCCCTTTGAGGTCGTTCCAGTCGCGGAACTTCTCTCTGTTATCAGTATACCGATACCAAGCCAAAGCTATACCATAAAAACTGATAATAGCTACGAGCATCTTCTCATCTTCAGACAACTTCTGGATTTCATAATATCGCTCTGCTCGAAAAATCCACGCCTCCAGCTCCAGACCTGCAAAAATCGGCATCTCAACCTTTTTGAAACGATTTCGGTCAGTATTTTGATTACCGTTCTCTTGTCCTAAGACGTCATCCTCAATCGCCTTCCCCTTTATCACCGATGTGTCCCCCGTTACCGTCGACACGGATTGTGACTTACCTCCGATGACCTGAGCCATGAACGCCTTCAGCCTCAATTTCTTCTGTTCATCAAATTTTTGATGTAACAGTGTGATTTCCACCTTCACTTCTGCTACTTCCTTCTCCATTGCCTCACACCTGGTTTCGAGCTCTTTTACCGTCATTCTCTCTTTTGATCGCCCAGTTTCGACAGGCTCTGATACCAATTTGTGAGGTATCAACTCCTCACTATTCAGATTTACTTCGAAAGATAACCCGAAGGTGATACAAAAAGAACAAGAACAGCCTAAGGCAACAAAAAACTCACCAATCCGAGAGGGTGGGGAATCTCTCCCTAATAGCCCAAAAGCTAACCAACACAAAATGCTAGAATGCCCCCCTAGCCTACATTCCCTTCCCTTTATAGGCAAACTTCCCTCCTTCCTACATGTAGCTGGTCCCCCCTCCTTCTCTCTCTTGGCTGTTGTGGCCTTCCTCTCCTAAAAAGACTTCTTTACCCTTCCTACTATATGTTTTTACAATTGGAGGCCTAACAACTTATTATCACAGTAAAGTTTCAGAGGCCCTTCTCATGGAATCTTCAAATTTTCTAAAATAATCTTAGAATCTTTATCTAGAGTAATTCGCAGATGCTCAATGTCATTGTTCTAAATTCTGCTTTTGAACTCGATCTTGAACTCGATCTTGCAAGTAATTCGCAGATGCTCAATGTCATTGCTCAATGTCATTGTTCTAAATTCTGCTTTCCTAGTTTCCACCTAGGAAAGTACAATAGCCAGAAGTTGATTTCCTATCGTCTATCTATCATGCATGATCTGCATCTGCTTAAACTTCCAAATTGAGTTTCTCGCATTTCTTAAACAACAATCCTTTCTCAATAGAATTCTTCAAATAATGAAGTATCTGGTACACTGCTTGAAGTTAAATTTCCTTTGGACTATGCATAAATTGACTTACCACTCCTACAACATACACAATAACTGGTCTTGCATGAGAAAGTCTGAAAGATATATTAATTTTCCAACTAACCTCTGGTAAGTTTCTTTATTTGTTGGATGACTCTCTTTAGCTGCACATAATCTATGGTTTTGATCAATCGACATTCCCATTGGTCTGCTACCAAGCTTTCCCATTTCAGAAAGTAAGTCGATCACATATATCTGTTGTGATAAGAATCTGCCCCCTTTAGAATAAGCGACCTCTATCCCAAGAAAATATTTCAGCTTTCTCAGTTCTTTTACTGCAAACTCTTGGATTAAACAATTTCTTAGTTTATCTTGTCTATTATTATCATTGTCAGTGACAATAATAAAGTCGACATAACAATTAGTACTGTCACTCCCTTTGGAGCAGAATGTTTTATAAACAATGTATGATATTCTTGACTTTGTTTATAGTCCATCTTCCTCGTGACCTGAAAAAATCTACCCAACCACGCATTAGGAGATTGATTTAATCTATACAATGCTTTTCTTAGTTAACAAACTTTGTTTCCTGCTTGCTCATACCTAGGTCGAATCTCCATATAAATTTCTTCTTCAAGATCACCATACATGAAACATTTTTACATCATATTGTAACATGTCTCATCCATAATTTACGGCAAGAGATAAAAGTATTTGTATTGTGTTCATCTTGGCAACTGGTGCAAAGGTTTCAAGATAATCAACTTCATATGTTTGAGTATATCCCTTAGCAACTAATACTCATCAATAGCTTACTACTTTTTTATCTTTAGGCACAGTAACCAACTTTCATGTTCTATTTTTCTCTAAGACCTACATTTCAGGATTCATTGCTTGTATTACCTCATATATGTTTTTGGAATGTTTGCTTGAGTAAGGTTAACCATAGTCATATGACACAAAGTGAGACAATGGATATCGAGGACAAGTTCGTTTTCCCTTCCTTAAAGAAATAGGCAACCATATTTGATTCATCATTGGCGGATAATATAGTGTCTAGCTCATCATTAACAAATACTATAATGTCTAATTCATCACTGACCCTGTTCTCGTCAATTTCAATTCCAGAGATATGTTCTGACTCTTGGACTTGCTTATTTTTCTCAGTGTTCCTTCTTGAATAAACATGTAATGGTATAGTAGTAAAAAGGTTAGATGGCCCGGATGAGGTGTCTAGGTAAAGATGAGGCTGACCCTGATGAGGTGTCTATAGGTGGTAAGGATAAGGATGATTGACTCGGGTCAATTTTAGTAAGGTTTGGTACATGTGATGGTAAAGGGTTTGAAGGAAAGGTGATGTTAGGGATAGGTTAGTTTATTCATTTTTGTTGCACGTTTACATTAGTTTGGTATCAGAGCATCCAAATTTTTAGGCACTCAATGGTAGAAGAAACCAGCAGTGGGAGATCCTTCCTTAACCAGCAAAGAAACGGAACAAATTTTCATCCTCTCACCCCGATCATTGATCATACGCTTGCAATTGGTCGAAGGAGATGTGAAAACCATCGAAAAGGATGTGAGTGAGATTAAACAAATCCTGGAAATCATCCAGGGTCGGTTGGAGAACTTGAGTCTTCAACAAAATCCTACGAGATCCGATCAAGAACCAAAAGTAGTTGATCATCAAAGCAACTACCATCAAGAACTGCACAAAGCTAAGAAGGTACCAAGATCTGTTTCTTGAACCAAGAATGCTCCAAGAACCGTGAGCTGTCCGGCACGACTTCAACCAAAATCTTGGAGTTTGTACGCCAAGAAGGTTCTAGCAACAATGTTGGAGTTTGTACGAATTTTAACAAATTAGTTTCATACAACACTGAGGTATTTTGCCACCAAACTCCAAACAATAGCCGTGAAATTTTCTTTCTTCTTGTACAAAACTCCCAACAACTAGAGAAGAAAATCCAAATGATACCTTAACCAAGATGGGAAGATTTTACCACCACAAGAGTGAAGACACTTCAAATGATTGCATAAGACCAACAAAAATTTCAGAAGATGCAAGAGGTAACTCAAATTTGCCTCAAGTTGATGCCTTCGATGTTGATTTCAGAAATTATGGAGTCCAAAACTCTTCTCAGATTGAGGCAATTGAACAAGAAGACGAGTTTTTTCTTAAGTTTGAAAATTATTTTGATGGGGAAGAAGAGGTTGATAAAGAATTGATAGGAAGAGATGATGATTCTACTTTTTCTTTGACTACATTGTTCTTTGAAGTTGAAATGCAAGATGTTAACGAGCACAAGAATCGACAAGAATCTTTATTGAGACGTTTGGAAATTACTTAGTGGTTACTTTTTCTTCTCTCTTCGCTTCCTTTGAGAAATTTGTATCCTTTACAGTGTTTTCGAGGCACACACAGGCGAGCGCCTCAGGTGAGAGGCGAGGTGATGTTGCCTCGGTGCACCTTCAACCGAGCGCATTTGTCGCTTGATGCGAGGCGATCGCCTCGTTGAAGCGAGACAATCTGCCTCATTTTCTTTTTCTCTTTTTTTTTAATTTTTTTTAAATACGTTAAAAACTACAAAAATAACATAAACTCTAAAATCGTATCTCTATTCTCTCTGGTTTCTCCTCTCGCGTCCCTCACCCACTGTCGCCGCTGCTATCTCCGATGGTCGCTGCCGCCGCTTCCTCTCTCCTTTGCTGCTAATACCACCGCTGCTACTACTCGCCGCCACCATCATCGGATCTTTGAAGGTTTCATTTTAGATTTTCGTTTTAATTTTCTGTTTTGCTATTTTTTTTTTTAAATCTTCTATCTTTTTTTTCATCTCTTTCATTTCACACACGTCTTTCCTAAATCTTCATCTTGGCTTTTTGCTTCACATTTCTTTTATTTTTGTATCTTCCAAATTTCAATTATAATAGGATGGCAGAAGGTCAAAACAAACRTAAGCATCCCGATTGGCAATACGTCATATTGGATATCTGAAGGATACAAACACTTCCAAATGCACATTTGTGGAAAAATTTCTAAAGGTGGCATTTGTCGAGCAACATAACATTTGGTTGGGGGAAATTGAAATGTAAAAGCATTTTTGAAATGCCCAACTAATGTGAGAGATGAATTGAAGGAGTATCAAACAAGATCAAAAGCAAGTAGGGAAATGAGTAATGCCCTCCCATCATATGAGGATGTAACCTTGACTGAAGAAGATAAGGAAGATGAGATGGAAGTAGTTGGTGGTAGTGGCAGTGGACCAACATCAGTTCCAACTAACAAGCGAATAAGAACAAACACAAGTGATAATCTGAGTAGTATTGGAGGGAGAGGAAGAGGAAGAGGAAGTGGAGGAAGAAGTAGTAACTCTTATAGTCAATCACAGTTAAAAGTCACCGCGACCAAAGGGGGCACTGGACAAATTTGTTTATCACCATCCTGGTAAAGTTGTTGATGATAGAAATAGAATGAAGAAGCTTAAGCATTCAACTATTTATAAGAAATATGATAAAGAGGGGAGGGATGCTACAGCGTAATTCATCATGGGTTGGATATATCAAGCATGTATTCCTCTAAGTACTATTCGTTTAAGAAGTTTTCAAGTGATGTTAGAAGCTGTGGAGCAATGTGGTCCTGGTTTGATACCTCCTTATCATGAAGCTATAGTAACGTACTTGAAAAAATGAGTACAATACAAAAAAGATCTAATGGTCGATCATGAGGTAGAATGGAAAAGAAATGGTTGTTCATTGATGTTAGATGGGTGGACTGATAGGAGGGATAGAAAGTAATGAATGATTGATTGGAAGACTCAGAAGAATAAGATAGTCAAGATGAAAATGAGTTGGTCTTTGATGATGACCTCCTCACATGGGAAGGTGTCGCCAAGGCTAGTGATGTTGGAGAGTCCATAAGGCAAACTAGATGTACATCTAAAGGAAAGTCACCTGCTACCCCCACTCCCACAACTTCTGGAGTTCGAAAATCAGTGCGAGTGGTGGTTAGTGATGATGATGATGACACCAAAGAAGAAGAATTGGAAAAGGAAGATTGTGAGGATGTCCAAGATGAAGAGACTTTAGATTTAAATGAGGATGATGCTTTTTGTTCTAATTTAGTATTTTGTTGAGAACTAATAGAATTTGGTTGTTTTATGTATCTTGTTAACTATGACACTATTTTGGTATTGATTTTTTAAACTATGTTTACTATATAGATTTATGCACTATATATATAATTTTTATTTATTTATTAAAAATTATATATATAGTGCATAAATAACAATAAATTACAATATGGTATATGGAAGCATGCATATAACAATATGGAAGGTATGCATATATTCAATAAATAAAAATATTGTAACTCCATATTTTTATTTATTTATTGTTTT